AGTCCCCCCCCCCAATTTTTATTTTCTTCATGTTGTTTGCTTTATATTTCTACCCCAAACCCTTCTCCTGACTACTATTTCATTACCCCATCTCTCATCTTTTGTTTTGTTACATCTGTGTAATTTCAGAGATCATAAGCAGTTGCCTAAAATGTATTATTTCCCACAAAGTCTTTTCAGGAACTTTCTTATTCTTCTATAAACTTGTGCTATTTTTGTTTCTGTTTCTTTAAATGTCACCAAATCTTGAAAATCTTGAGCTTTCTCTCTCCACTAAATTATAAGCAATTCTATTTTAAATTGTATCTGTACCAGTTGTTTGCAAATAAATTGGGTGAGTGTGGTCTTTTAGTCCCTCTCTCTATTTAAGTAGTTGCTCCTAGAATCATCCGAACCATCTCAGATTCTGTCCTGGAATTTTGGTATTTATGTCGCTGTCCTAGGTCATCCAGCTACTGTTACCTGGATGTTAGGGGACAGGAAACACTAGAACCTCTAGACTGCACTTCTCCCACTACTACTCCTTTCATCTCAGCTCCCCCCTCTACTGATGTAAAGTCACAGGATTTGGGGGACCATTTTCATGCACTTCAGGCCCTAGCCAATTTGTCCCATCTGAGAATGGGAGGAAGTTTAAGAGCCGTTTCCCAGAGATTAATTCGGGAAGAGAGTACAGCATGAGATGAACATGATTCTGGCCACTGTAAGAAATAGTGCCAGTGAAATATGTAGCTGACTTTTCTCCTGGTTGTTAGGGATTTTGTGAATCTAGAATAGGAGCAGTGGATAGGTAGAAATTGCCTACAGCACTGGATACAGCTCTAAGTCGATGAGTTGGCACTCTTGCTAGAATCTGGCAAAGTATTGTACATTAAACTTACTTTGCAATGTTATTATAACTTTGGTATCTCCTTTGTAACTTTTAAACAAAATTTAAAAAGATTAATAACTTTTTCTTTTCCTTTTTATGGTTACTTTATAAGCTAAGTAGTATACCTTAATATTTTGGGTCCCGTTGAATTCCTTCAATACCTTTTGTTTGTTTATTGTTTTGGTGGTATATTTTATTTAATCCAATATATTCTGGAACTCAGGCCATTTTGATATTAAAAATTTTTCCTAGTTTTAATTTTTCAATTAAGACAATTTAAAAAATCTTTATTCTTGAGACTATTATAGATCTAATACCTTTTAAATTTCTGTTAATCTTTTTAGGCAGTCTAGGTGGGTGCTATTTCAGAATCCTTTCATATCTGAAGAAAGTCTGTTGCCTTTTTGCGTGAATGAACAATGCAAAAAGTTGCATCGTTCTGGTGTTTTAAGCAACTAGTCTATTTGCTCTAGTGAGAAGAAGGGATGAGTCAGCCACCCTTTAAGGTCCCTTCCTACTGCTCACAAATCTTGCTGCCCTCTGGGGCTTTTCTGTCTCCTTTCCCTCCCTTTCTTCTTAACCAATTCTTTCTCACTTTCATTTGTGTGTTACTCTTGCTCTACCTCCACTAAAATATTTATGCCACCTAAGCCTTTTTCTTAATGCTCGCTTCAAACTAAATATTCTCCTCGTGTCCTTTTATATACATTCATGGTTTTAACCACCAACAATGCTCAAATCTTTAATCTGGCCTCATTTTGGGAATATAAAATTATATTTTTAATAGCTTACTTAGCATGCCTATTTAATCTCTCTTCTGCCAGACTTAAAATATTAAAGCCTGAACATTCCTTTCTAGTCAAATATGCTTTTATTTAAATCTCAATGAATTAAGTCGAACTCATTCACTCAGTTAACTTAGGTTAAAAAATTGGGAGGCATCTTCTTCCACACCTCCTTCACCTCCCCTGTCCAGCTCATCTCCGACTTCTATGGGTCCTTTTCCTAAATGTATTCCTTATCCCGTCCCTTGGTCTGATGTCATTTGCTGCTGTCCTATTTTAGGGATTTGTTACCTGCCACCACATCTATTCTTTTGGCTTCTTAAGGGGTTTTCAGGTAACCCTTCTTAGTCCTCTTGACCCATCTTCCAGAGAGATTTTGCCACAGTGCTAACCTGATCATGCCTCCTTAATGTTTATTTGTGTCTCCTGAGTGCTTTCTCAGTCGGGCCTTGGCTTACTTCTCTAGCCCCATCTCTCACCACTTCCACCGTATTCTGTAACCGTAGGGAAGCCTTTCTTGTCCACGGTGACACCTCCACGTGTTGCATACGCTATTTCCTTTGCCTGGACTATTCTTCCGCATTTCACCTACCCATTGTGTTCTGACTCATTTTTTTTTTTTTTTTTAAGACTTAAGAGTCACTTCTTTTTGGAAGCTTTTTCCTACCCTTAATTGTGCTTCATTTTCATTTTGTAGATTCCTTCTGTTTTTCCAAAGCACCCTGTGCATGCACTCACCACACTGTATTATAATTGTTAATTTTCTTGTAGTACCTGTCATTCTCCCTCACTTGACGGGGGCTCTTTTAAGGACAAGGACTGTGTTTTGTTCAGTCCTTATGCACAGTGCCTGACACAAAGTACATGTTCAAAACATGTAGGGTAATTGAATGGGTGATTTCTTTCTCATGTTGAGAATAATAAAGAGAACATATACACTCTTTTATTGAGAAAGCAAAGCTGGAAGATAGCTAGTATGCACAGATGTTTACAAATGCCATCTGTTTGTATTATAAGAGGTCTCATGTAGGGGTATAAGTGACGTGGTATGAAACAGACAGAGTTAATAATTTTCCCAGAAAGCTGCTGCCCTAGCCATGGGGGTCTTCCCTCCTGCTTTGATCATTCTAAGGAGCTTTGTGATTACATTATGACTTGCACAAATTGTGGAGAGCATGACTTAGGGATCAAAAGACCTAGTTTTCTTAGCTTTCTGACGCCCTTGGTGATGGCATTCAACATTTTTGGTTTATTCTTTGTCATCTGCAAACTAAGAGTTTTTGTGTTTTTTAAAATATATCTTTATTGATTTCAGAGAGAGGAAAGGAGAGGGAGAGAGAGAGAGATAGAAACATCAATGATGAAAGAGAGTCTTTGATTGGCTGCCTCCTGCACACCCCCTCCTGGGGACTGAGCCTGCAACCTGGGTATGCGTCATGACCAGGAATCAAGCCTCCATCTCCTGGATCACAGGTTGATGCTCAACCGCTGAGCCACGCAGGCCAGGCAAGAGTTTTGAATTAAGTAAGTTATTTTCAAGCTTATCAAAACTATGAAGTGATATTTTAAGTTCCAAATCTCATGCATAAGCCTAGGGTATGCAAGCAGAGCTACTCTGGTTGGCTACTGAGGGTTTTCTGTTTGACATCCATCCTCTGCAGTTGTCCCTTGAAGGTCTTTGTGAATCAAAGTGTATAAATTATTTGAACAATAATCTCTAAATTCTTTTTCAGTTCTTATATTCAATTATTATTACTTAGTTAGACAATTTTCTTTTTTGACATGAAGTGCACCAATAGAGAACCTTCTCCATATTGGTAAGGGTTTATTATCTACAGAGCTGATATTGAGCTGGTAGGCTCTGGTATTGGTGTACTAGTTATTGGTGTACTAGTTGTTTATGACCAATATTCTTTTAATTACCTTACTATCTAATTATGCTGACTGAACAGTGCCTATTCCATACTGGTTGTTAAATATTTGCACAGTCACTCTAGTTTCCTGCTAGTGCCATAACATGTGGGTGTAGAAAAGGAAAAGTTACACATTGACATGTTTTTTTTTGCTTTCTTTTTCTTTTCAAGCTTAAATTTCTATTTGTTCCCCTTTATTATAATCTTCAGAAATTGAAATCATGCCTCAATTTTTACATTAGTACATTTTATAAATTAAGTGCACTTCAAATGTTGATTTTTGTCCAAACTTTGTTCCTTAAAATAAAACAAGTCTTTGCTTCCACAATTAGCTTGACTAATAAAGGGCTAAGTAAAACTACTATTAATTATTTCATTAAGTATTTTTCTGATACCCTAATATGCATATGACATACTGGATTTGGTCGGATTCAAGTGACTTATGATAACATAGACAATAATGGGTAATATAAAATTTGTGATAAATGATCTAAACATATAAATTTTACTATCATAAAATGATATCTAGGAAATTGTGATGCTTTCTCTTACATTTCAGAAGTAGTATTGATATTGCTTCTAATATTTGTTGAATATATACAGTATGAATTTGAAAATAGTTCATGTTACCAGAGTATCTCAGCCTGAATTATTCTAGAAAGTGATCATAACCATGCTTTTAGCAATGCTTTTTAACAATCATAACAAATACTTTAAAAATAAAAACACATGTTGAACCATAATCCTTGGACAATATGGATTCTACTATAATCACATATAGGAAAAATGGACTAACCTAGACATATTTCTGGTGTTCACCTATTGATTCTTGGGGATGAAAGAGTTAATTTTAAATTTTGCATTCTTTCACACTTCATTTTTTTAGGGAAACTGACTTAAAATCTGTCCATTTTTTTACAATACATATTTTATTTTGAAATTAAGTGGTGATGCAGTTTGATATTGTGTTAAATTCTTGTATTCAAATATTTTTGCACAGGTCATCAGTGGTATCCAGTTGCCTCCCAGTAACTACTCATCATCTAACAAAGCTGACACATTAGTGATTATAGACATTATTGGTGTCCCAAATGATCAAGTGAAACAGCAGACTCGTGTAATTAAAAAAAATGGTGAGCTCCTCATATATTTCATTGGACTTCTATTAGACTTCTTGTCGGAAAGCTTAAAAATTATATATTAATAGAGTTTGATACATATTTATTATTCATAAGGCAAAGGTTTTGTATTATGTTCAAAATGATGAAAGTTTTATATGCAGCGAAAACAATTTGATAATATTTGGTGCTTTATTTAGATATATTTTCAGATTACAGATACAAAAATTTATCCTACCTGAAAAATTGCTACTTTTTTTCACTTCTACCTCCTTTTTATGTTTTTCCCAGCATCACTGAATGAAAAGAGACATTTTGATAGCTGCAAATCTAGCCTCTGTGTAAAATAAAGAATTTGTGATTATTCTGATATAGCATGTAACACATTTTTACTTCACTGCTTGAATTATTTTAGATAAAGTTCTGTGGCTTCTGACTCAGGCTAAGGCTGCCATAGAAACCTACTCATACAATATTTGGATTCATAATTCAGGCATTTTTGCCAGGAGGGAAATGTAGGAATGGGAGAAATGACTTTTAAGATTTTCGGTGTTCTAGCACCTCATGATATTTTATGAAGTACAGTACTGACATTGTCATTTCTTCTCTGAGGTTGAAGTCATTTAGGAAGTTAGAAAGGTATAGATTCCTGGGGTTGTCCCTTAGGATCACTTTGGAGGAAACCTTGGAACTTATACTTGAGTATAGAATCTTCTTTGAGTTAATATTCCCCAAGTATAGTGGGCTTCACTTCAGAGTCTGGAGATATGCTGCAGGCTGAGTGGCACTGACAGGAAAGCAGGTGAAGTTTTATTAGTCTTTTTCCTCTTGGGTGATAATCCCTTACAATGCCCACTATCTGCCTGCCTCTGCCCCCGAATAATCCTCTAGCATGACATGACCCGTAGTACAAAAAGCATGGGAAAAAAGATTTGGGAAGTTTTGCTACCTCGTTTTATGTTATCAATAGGGAAGGATATTGGTGATGACTTAATGCCTTAATTGATACCCCTTAGAGTTGAAGGCACACGACAGTGGCAGTGTCTGCTAATGGTGACTGCTAATATCAGAAAGCTTTCAGTAATCTGTCTCTTCTTTCTAGCCTCTTACTTGAGTCTTCATGGCAAAATGCATAGAACATTTATCTACTCACTGCACCTTTTATAATAATATGATATTCTTTGTGTTTTATGGGATATTCCTGCAGAAGTTCAATTTGGTTCTTCAAACATTACTGAGCCCATTATGTTAAAAGCCTGATGCCAAGTATCGAGAAACTTAAAATCTTGGCTTATTAAGTGTGTTATTATGTAAGGCCCAACCAACTCTATTGTAAATAGTTTACAGTTCAGTATGGGAATTAAGATATAAGTAAAACTATTATGGCAAAGGATTAATAGTGCTTTAAGGAAAGTATAAAGAATTATAGCAGAAAAAGCAAATTTGGAGATAGTTCTTGGAGAACGAATTGAATTTTTTACAGATATTGAGGAAAGAACACTTAAGGCAAAAGGAATAATCTGGGTGTTAAAACATGGAGAAGACAAAATTCAAATATGCTGAGGAAAAGTAAGGAAGGCCAAGATGAGTGGAATACAGGTTACTTAAGAAAGATTAGTGTGAGATAAAATAAGAAAGTTCTGTTGGGCATGGCCATGAAAAATCTTGAAAACCATGATCAGGTGTTAGGAACTTTCTTTTCTATAGAAAATGAACACAATTAAAATTTTCAAGCAGGGATATAACACTAACAGAGTGAGCTTCAAGGAGATTGTTCCTGCAAATTAGATAGGAAGCAGTGTCTGGGAGGGAAATGAGAACTACGAAATAGGATACGATTTCACAGTTAGGGGATGTAAAAGAAGGACTGTGGCATCAGAAAATGAATGGAGGATGTGTGTGGGGAACACTACCAGGGACAAAAGTTTAGGTAGCCGGACAAGAGGGGTTCCAAGATGGCTTAGCTACTAGGGTAATGGCAGTGCAATGAAAGACGTGAGAGTCTCAGAAGAAAGATCCCATTTAGATACGGTGTGAAAGTAATTATTTTGGTCATGCTAAGGGAAAACTATATTTATAACTATCAAATTTGGTATTCTATTTTACTTTTTTTGACAACTAAAAGGACTTTCTCATATAATATGAGTATGTGTGTGTGTGTGTGTGTATGAGTTTATAGTGAAGTAGGTTTGGAGGGGGTAGAATAAATCAGTATAAGAATTTTGTGCAGACATTTTGCAGTATCTATAAAAAACTGCCTCTTAAACCTGCCCCTTATAATATTATTTCTCTTCTTACGACAAGGTAATACAATCATTATTCCAGCATGAGTCAATTAGTTTAATATTTTTGTGGGCATAAACTGCATCCTGGATTACTGTTTAGTAAATGTGCACTTGTGACCACACATGAACCACAGAAAACATAAAGTATAATTAGCCACAAATTCTTCAGTGCTTCTGGAAATGCAACTCAAAGAACAAAAGCTGTTGACAGCAGGCACAGCATTGTCTTTGTCCATGAAAAACAATACATATTGCTTCTCTCTGAACCTTTGAGTATTTATTAAGTGCATTATATTCAATCTGGATGTAAATTTATTGATTTTATTAATTATGCTTAAATATTGGGTGATTTGGGTTACATTGTGACACAATTTGGATTTCTTTTTTGACAAGAGATTGCTGTTTGGGCTGATCTATTTTGCTAGAGGCCTAAATTATTTTTCAACTTTGGACTTTAAAATGAGCACTTAGTCAAATGAAAGATCTGGCTTTAGAGCACTTATTACCTAGCTTTCAGTCCCACAGCTGTCCGTGGAGCTCTGCCCATAATAGGACCTGGTATAGAAGAATCATGTTACTTCTCTGTGTCTCAATTCGTTGTGAATGAAATGCCTGAACACAGCAGTCATATTGCATAATGATCAAATATTTCTGCTCTGAAATCAGATTCCATTTGCTTGAATTCTTGACCTGCCTCTTAATGGATGTGAATGTAAAACCCTTAGGAAATTATGTAGCATCTTTCTGGCTCAGTTTTTTCATCTATGAGTGTGGATAGTAATAACGCTGATGCAATTGTTGTGAGGATTATATGAGATGATCTTCTTAGACTACTGTTCAGCAATAGTAAATACCCAATAAATATTGGTGTTGCCATTATTATTTTCTCAAGGGGTGTGTTAAAAATTGAAGTGTTCTAAAAGCAAGCTATTAAAATGTTGAAGGGAATAATTTTGGAGAACAGATGTTACAAATTTTCCCCTAGAAATAGTATCTATGATTCTTTGATTCTATCTGTTCCTTTACTTTTCAGCTTTTAGCCCAAGATGGAATGAAACATTCACATTTATTATTAAAGTGCCAGAACTGGCATTGATACGTTTCGTTGTGGAAAACCAAAATTTAATAACCGAAAATGAATTTCTTGGGCAATATACTTTACCACTTTTATGCATGAGAAAAGGTAATATTCCTAAAAGTAAGATGATTGTGCTGACAGTAGATTATAACTTTTTACCAGAGACATACTTTGATACAACAAATTGAAAGCCAGATATAAAGGAAATTTTATATATTGACACGTTTTCTCTTGGTGGAATTACAGAAATATGGAATGTGGGATGGAGTGTGGGGTCTCTAGGAAGACTAATTAGACAAAGTTGGCATGTATGAACATTTCTTCACATGGATCATAGCTTCTGTGTCAGTTAGGAATAGCCACATCTGCCATAAAAAATGAAGGATGGGAATCAAAGAGAAGGGAGAAGCAGTGATTCATTCTTCCCATTTGAGAAGAGGAGACTGGGAGCCCAAGAATTTCCTTTCTTGACTCTTCAGAGCTGCCTGTGTAGCGCATCGCCTTGTGGGCTGGTTTACATTGGACGCCCAGTTACCTCGTCTCAATATGTTTACTTTTCTAACACCATCTGAGATGTACCTAGGAAGCAGAGCCTGAAGCAGAGGGGTGGTGGCTAATTTTGGAGATGTTGCACTTTGAAGGAAGAGAAGCTGAGCTGTGTCCTCAGTGTAACTCAGTAGGAAGTCAGAATAGAAACTTAAAATATTTTATTTTTGGGGAAAACTAACATGCAAGACGAATATAAGTATACAGTCAGTGTTTTTATGGTATGCATAGTAAAGATCTAGTCTTTCTCAGTAGCACTATCAGGGCCATTGCTGGTTAATTTCTTTTTATTGTTCTAATTAGATATGATTCCTTTTGCAGGTTACAGTCGCGTTCCTCTGTTTTCCAAAACTGGTGAGAGTCTTGAGCCTGCATCACTGTTTGTTTACGTTTGGTATGTCAGATAGCAACTAATAGTGCCTGACCTGTTGTTAGCTATACATCACAATAAAACAGCCAAAGTTAATGTTCATATATATTTTCTTTTTTTAAATGTACACCGAAATAATTATTTACAAAAACAGAAATATTGAACAAATTCACTTGTAAGTATGCCAAACAGAGCAGTGGGAAAAAAGAAATAAAAATTTCAGAGGATCCTGATTCACTGTGGCATTCTTGTCAGCCAGTTTCTCCTGCCCTTCTGCTGCGGAGGCTGCTCTTCCAACTGGCTTGTATAATTTTTAATTAGTAGAATTTTACAACCTTTAAAAACATGTCTGATTGTATAAGATATGTTAGCAAATATTTGGCAGTATAAAAGAAATGTGAAATCTATGAGTGTTTTAACCTCTAGACACCCACTACTGCATACTGTACTGGGAAAGAATTAGATTTCCAGGTATTTTGTGTCCTTTTGTAGCTTAGAGAGCAATTAGCCCCTATAGTCTCAGGCTAGTTCTTAAGTGCTGTGCACTGGATTTGGTACCCAGTAATTATACAGACATTTTTATGAGTGTATATAAAATTGATTTGCATTCAAACTGTATTCAGACTCCATATCTGTAAAAGAGATCTACTATGTGGATTTACATGTTCGGATCTCTGAATGAATTTGCAATGATTCTGAGTCTGTACTAAATGTACTTTGAAGATTGTTTCTTGATCACAGATGAGGTTCCTGTGCTCTTCCATATGCTGAGTTTATCACGATCAGCAGGACTTTGCTTTACTAAATGCCATATGTAGAAGAATATGGTTCCTTATTAAATGTTCTAAAAAAAACCCAGGCTTATTAATACTTATTCTACCACATTGTTGCCTGGTAGTGAGGTGAAAGCATTTAGCACAATTTTTGACAAATTAGGGAGCCCTCATAGGTATTTGCTGATTTTAAATCTGAATTTATAGCTAAAATAACAAGAATGACTATTTGAGATGTATACTAATGCCAGAAAAATACAAAATAACTCATCTATCATGTTTCACTATCGCCATAGTTTACCCTTGGAATTGCATATTCAAAATAAAAATGCCCTGGGAATTCAAATATCCAAACCGTAAGTGGTAAAAATTGTCCCAAATTACTCAGTACATAGTCATCCAGATTCTCCCTCATGTGTTCTCTGAATCAGAGATCAGGGTACACACTTCCCAGTAGAGATACATAGCTAGTACTCAGAGGGGTGCTTCAGTTTTACCAGCTTATGGAAGGATTTTATTTACATTATCTATTGTTCAACCTAACAGCAGGTGGGATGTTTACCCCACTGATTCAAAGCTTTAATTTTCTCTAACTTACTTAAGTCTTTTGAAGATATGGAATTGTATGAGATTTAAAGGTTTTGACCAGATGAGTTTTGAATTCTGAAGCTGGATAAACTTTTCAAAAATCATTTATACTAACAAGATTTGAAATAAGGGAGGAAAAAAAATATTTTCTTTCTCACTTTTTCTTCAGGTATCAATAAAACTCAGCTCAGTAACTGAAGACCAAATCTTTCATTTTTTAACATTCCGCTCTACACGAGAAACAGTTTTGAAAGGAAACATTAGCATATTTTATTTCTTGTCCAATGTCCTTAAATGTCTCTGTCTCTGTTTTTGTGTGCATTATTTACCATTGACTTTACCCTTTAAATTGAATAGGCATCACCATCATCATCATCATCATCATCTTCTCACAAGAACTTTTAACAGATACTACCCATAGAAACTCCATAGTCATGGAATGCTCTTACATAAGAGGAGACTTGGAAAGGTGAAAGAAGCCAGCTTTGATGTGTGCTTTCTTTTTTCTTTTTAAAACTATGTCTTTATTGATTTCAGAGAGAGGAAAGGAGAGGGAGAGAGAGAGAAACATCAACGATGAGAGTCATTGATCGGCTGCCTCCTGCACACTCCCTGCTGGGAATCGAGTCCGCAACCCAGGCATGTGTCTTGACCAGGAATTGAACCTCGATCTTCTGGATCCTAGGTTGATGCTCAACCACTGAGCCACGCCATCCAGGCGATGTGTGCTATCTATGCATAATTCACTTGCAGGGAAAAGCAGTGTTGGTGAGTGGAGGGAAACAAGAAAAGGCTAAATGAACCACCGGGCTGTGGCAACAGAAGACTTTTTAACTTTTGAGCTCTCAGTTTAAAAGTTAGTTCCTCAGGGAAGCCATCATGATCTCCTGGATTAGGTTATATCCCTTGGTTTATGTTTCCAGATAACTGATAAAAGTGACAGCTAGGAACTGATTTGCAGGATCAGGAAGGTCTTGGTGTTGCCAGGAGCAGGCCTGCCACTCATAGTTAGGCCATGTTGTTCTGTTGAACATAAACAACTTCACAGAGCATCAACAGGAGACAAGGCCACTCTGTTACCATAATGGATCAAGAAGAAAGCAAAACCACTCTGTAACTGTGCTTGAACACATGAAGTTGCTCAAGTTGATAAAATACAAACACTAAAAAATAGTAGTCTCAGCTCTCTTTTGGACATTCTGACCAATAACTTGCATCAGTGGTACATGAAAGGCTTTTAGTTGACTCAGATATGACAATATGTGTTCTAACACCAGGATTAGCCAACCTCCTAAGCAGATTCAGTTATATGAGTCTCCATAAATTAAAGAACACAAGATTGAATGGAGTGCTAAGCATAAGAGTGATATTCCAGACTGTGTGGGCTTCTGAAGTTGCTAGAAAATGTTATAGAATCGCTTGTACAGTACTTATGGTCAACCCACATATTCTGACCAATATTCATATAGCCAATTAAAAAACTATTTCTGATATCCTTTATGCTAATTGACATACTCTCTTGTGTAGATATAGGCAGGAATATTTAAAACCCTTATAGTAGCCACCTCTGCAATGTGGATTCCTGATTAAAGTTTTAAAATGTTAACTAATTTCTTTGGAAAATAGATTAAAACTAATTTGTGCACAGCCAAACACATATATATACCACATACAAAAACACACATGACTAAGCATGCACACATGCACATACATATATATTACACACTTTATTCTGAAGTTGGTGAATTATAGCTATTTAACCAAAACAAAGGATAGATTTGTACTTGAATATTTTAGATTTATCTATTTAGAACACTCAAATAATTATTTTTGTTCTAAGTCTAGGCCAGTGGTTCTCAAACTTATCTGCACACTGGAATCACCAAAAACATTTATTTTTCCCCCCCCAGACATTCTGATGTAATTAGTGTGCTGTGCTTGAATACTAGGATTTTTAATAAGCTCTTCAGGTTATTCAAATGAAATGTTCTCTAAGTATTGTCCTCAGACCAGTAACAACAGCGTAATCTGAGGACTTTTTAGGCAGGCGAAGGCCATGGGAGAAGCCCACCAGGAGACTGAAGGGAGGGAAGAGAATGATTCAGCGCATCTAGTCTTGTGCTTCCTCCCAATGAAGTCACCTTCGAGCGGTCATGTTCCTCGATGTGACTTGTGTCCTTTCTGGGTTTTGGTCAATCAGAAAGAGTCAGAAAAGAAAATGTCAAAGAATGAAAACAGGTTTTGACTTTCTTTTATAGTCCTTCAAGTGTGTGACGTAGTGGGGATAGAAATGAGCCTCCAGCATATGGAATGTTAAAAATATATTTTATTTTTTATATAGTTGGCATACTCAAGATTTATACTAGTTTCCTTTTTTCAAGTTGTTTGACTTTAATTTCAAATGCTATATTGAGACATATAATCAGAGATAACATGCTAAATGACCTAGTGAGAAATGAGGTAGCTAGTAACATATGAGTAAAAGTAAAGAAACAATAAAAAAATCTATTATCTTTTTTTTTTTTAATATATCTTTATTGATTTCAGAGAGAGGAAGGGAGAGGGAGAGAGAGATAGAAACATCAATGATGAGAGAGTCATGGATCGAGCCCGCAACCCGGGCATGTGCCCTGACCAGGAATCGAACCCCGATCGCCTGGATCCTAGGTTGATGCTCAACCGCTGAGCCATGCTCGGCTGGCCTATTATCTTAATTCAGGAAAATTTTTGGCTAGATGAGCAATGTAGAGTGAGCCTGGGGGTTAGCAGCAGGTTGCCGCAGAAGAGACAATAAATAACAAAGCTACTGAAAATTGTTAGAATGAGGAGACAGCTATGTTTTCTCATTAAAAAACAATAACACAAAACAGTTTTCTGAAATAATATATGCTAATTTGGCAAATCTAGGCAGTATCAAAAACTGTAAAGCTATAAATCATGGGCAACCATGAAATAAAATAATCTCTCTTAATTCTTTTTGTTCTTTGGGAAAAAAAAATTAAGTTCCCTTTTTCCCTCATCATTTGTTTTGGGCTGTGCATACCATAGAATTTTTTGCAATGGTGGAATTGTTCTACATCTTCTCTGTCCAATAGGGTAGCCAGTAGCTACATGTAATTATTTACCACTTGTGATGTGACTAGTGTGCACTTGTGATGTGTCTAGTGCCACCGAGGAATGGAATTTTAAGCCATGTTTCACTTCAATTAACCGAAGAATGGAATTTTAAGCCATGTTTCATTTCAATTAATTAAATCCAAGCCGCCACATGGGCTGGTGCCTCCCTGCAGGTAGTGCGGCTCAGGAGTGCTGGCCTCACCTATGGTCCTGCCCATTTCAAGCGTCTCCATTGTGCTGGCTCACTCACATGCCATCCCTTACTATCCACAGATGCCAAGATCACATTCTACTTTTCCGATATGTGTCTGCTTTTTCTCAACCCTTCTCACTCTATTGTAGGTTCAATAAAAAAAAAAAGTATCTTATTTGTATAGCACTTAGCAGTTTACTAAATGCTTTCACGCACATTATTTAGTTTCTTACGTTAAATATAACTATAACCTATGTTTTTCTTAAGTGATTTTTCCCAAATGAACACTTCCTAACTGATGTGATCAAGTAAAGGAACTCATTTGAGAGACTCTTTGACAATATAAACATTGGTGATTCTGGTTAT